AATCCTGAGGAGAATAATTTTGAAGGCCTTTGCTACCCCAGGGAGATGAGACTTGTCCCACTAAACAGTTAAATGAACTAAAACTTCTGCTGAAACAGACCCATTGTAAGTGTAAACACAGAAGAGAGAAGCAGTGTTCCTTGAGGGTATCTCTGTAATGTGAAAGTCTCATCTTTGTCCTTTATCAGTTGAAGATAGCCCATGTTGTAAGGATTCTCATGGCCAAGTCACAGTGTTCATAGAATCACAGAATGGTTTGGGTTGGAAGGGACCTTAAAGCTCATCCAGTTCCAACTCCCCTGCCATCAGCAGGGACACCTTCTACTAGACCAGGTTGCTCAAACCTCATCCAGCCTAGCCTTGAACACTTCCAGGGAGGGGTCATCCACAGCTTCTCTGGGCAACCTGTGCCAGTGTCTGACCACCCTCACAGTGAAGAATTTCTTCCTAATATCTAATCTAAACCTCCCCTCTTTCAGTTTAAACCCATTTTCCCTTGTTCTGTCACTAATTGCCCTTATGAGAAGTCCTTCCCCAGCTTTCTTGAAGGCCCCCTTTAGGTACTGGAAGGCTGCTATAAGATCTTCCCTGGAGCCTTCTCTTTTTCAGGCTGAACAGCCCCAACTTTCTCAGCCTGGGGCTGTTGCACTGGTGAGTTTCAGCTGACTGATGTGCCCAGCTGACTCCTCCTGCCAAAGGGCATCGGAAGAAAAATGCCCAAATCTGCCGTGTGGAGCTGAAGTGTTCCCTGCACTGTGTCCCGCCTTTAGGACGTTATGAGCTACAGTCACGTGCTGAGGTGGTTTGCTGTTGTTTAGGACTACGTAAAAGATAGGTGGTCTGCGTGCCTGTGCTGCTGGTCTGCATTCTGTGCCCCAAGCCTGGAGAGCAGTCCTGCTGTGGTTGGGATGGTTGGGTGTGATGAGGGGTGGAAAGGTTATGGAAAGGAAAAGGCATCAGCTTTATAGAGAGAAAACTGTGCCTTTGTTAGAATAGTTGATTAAGCTGGAGAAAAGCTTTCAGTTATGCAAGTTTCCTTTAAGAATGACTTGGCTGTTTTATAATATTTTAATTTAGCAAAAAAACTGCGTCTTTCAAGAAGATGCAGTTAGTGGGACAAACATTTAGTCCTTCTCGTTGTTGAACTGTATCATTATTTTGTTTCTCACTATGAAAGTAATATAGTAAAAAGCAGCTCTTCAGAAGAAAACCTAAAATGGTATTTCTGGATAAATGCAGATAACATTGGTAAGGGCTTCTAAAAAGTCAATTCTATTACACGATTTTCCTCTAGATCCTTGAAATCTTTAGAGTTTTGTTTTCATGAGATGAATTTGCATCACCCTGTAGATATTCAGACAACCACCACAATTTGTAGTTCAAACAATGTTAAAATGCAATATGTCAGAGAGGTACTGGCTATTCTAAAGAAGCTGTAAATACTTCAGGTAATTGAATGTAAAATCTGATAAGCCCAAATGTGGCTTAACTTGCTTTAAAACATAAAGATGAAGTTTTCCACTACAGGAAAAGTTGACCTCAACTTTATTTTCTTTTCCTGGAATCCAATGCCATATGTGTGTTGTGATTCCAACCAGGTGTTTCATTATACCAAAGTGCTGTAAAAGAGTACTGCTGTCTGCTAGGGGTATTAGATCTTTCTCAAAGATGTTCATGCAAACATGCTCCTCAAACTAGCTGTCAAATACCTCACATAATAAACTGAAGATTCCATAATACTTCTGCTTTAAAGACTGCTCTGAAAGTTAAGTGTAATGGTGAAATGCTCATTCCAAACTCATGCTCACTATTTCAGCTATTACATTTAGGGACAAGAAGTTAGGTAGTGGTGGGGCTCATAGAGGACCTGGTGTGTTTTAATGAGCCCAAATTACTAATAAGTTTCTCCATGTAAAACTGAGCCTGACTTATGAATCTAGAAATAGCTGTTTTATGAGACTGCACACCTTTTGTGCCTTAAACTAGGAACCTTCAACTATTTGAAGTTACTCTGCTGAACTGTAGTCAAGTTGGCTGCTATATTTGCTTACAGCTTTGCAACAAGAAATATTTTAGGTAACAATGCCAAATGCACCTAAAAGTAGAGTGACTTCTATTTAATAAAAGCAAGGGTGGGTTTTAGCTTTGCAGAAGTGTTAGTGAGGTTAATGAAAATGCTGCTCATCTAGAGGAAATGGCTAAGCATTGTGCTGAGCAGATGGCTGCAGAACTTTTCAGCCCTAGCAGCTAGGTGATGAGAATGAGAGAAGGTGGCCTCTGTGGGACACAGAGATGAATATTGTATTAGTATTGTGTGTTATGGCTTGCATCTCGGCTGCATTAGGTCTTTCTTCTTGAAAGTCTGTCAAGCCAAAGAAGGGGCAGGATGTGTAGCAAGCTGAAAGGAATGTCAAATTTTTCACAATGGGAAACTTGTGAAGCAGTGTAACAAGAAAGAAGTAAGGGGAGGCTCATTGGTTTCCAGCTCCAGAGCTCCTCTAGAGAAGCCTTCTGGGCTGAGAGGAAAGATCAGTGTAGATTTTTTTTTCCCCTGTTATGGAAGACTGTAGCATAAAGCCAGTTGGCTGATGAAGATTTTCTTCACATGGGCAATGTGGCTTTCTCTAGCAACAGGAATATTTAATTGATAAAACTAAGATCTTTATCAGTTCTACATATAGCGTGACAATTGCATTTGAAGTCAGAAGGCTGGTTATCTACTGAGCTGATTGAATCTTCAGTGGGTCAAAGCAGTTATGCAATGAATGCCTTGCTGGCCTTTCTATCTAGATTTATCGCTGCTGCTATAGAAGGCCAGCACTGTCCTGGGCTGCATGGGAAAGAACGTTGCCAGCAGGTTCAGGGAGGTGGTTTTTCTCCTCAATTAAGCTCTGGGGAAACCACATCTGGAGTGCTGTATCTGGTTTTGGGTTCTCCAGTAGAAGGAAGACATGGACTTAATGGAGTAGGTCCAGAAAAGGGCCACAAAGATGATTAAAGGTCTGAAGCATCTTTCATATTAAGAGAGGGCTGGGAGACCTGGGATTATATAGCCTTGAGAAGAGAAGGCTCAGAGAATCTTATTGTCAAGTATGTATGTACCTAGTGGGAGGGAGCACAGAAATGGAACCAGACTCTTCTCAGTGGTATCTGCTGAAATAACAAGAAGCAATGGGCACCAACTGAAATGCAGAGAATTCCCTTTAAAAACAAGAACACCCATTTTACAGTAAGAGTGGCTGAACACTGACACAGGTTACTGAGAGAGTTTTGGCGTCTTCATCCTCGGAGGCAATCAAAACCCAGATGGACATGACCCTGAGCAGCCTGCTCTAGCTTGCTTTGAGCGGTGGGGTGGAACCACATGATCTTCAGAGGTACCTTCCAACCTCAGCAATTCTGTTGTTTGGTGACTGAGGAATCTGGTGTAATTTTCCCTGCTGTATTATAGTAAAATTATAGCTCTATGGAGTATGAAAGAGCAGATTTCCTGGGAATACTCTTTGGCTTCCCTTCTGAGTGACCTGTGTAAGTGTGCTGGGCATGCTGGGACAATACCCCAGATTCTAGATGCAGGAACGGTGCTGAACTTATGCATTTATCTGGTAACATAGGTGCTGTATTTTTTTAATACTTTCTCCAGAAGATATCAGCTGTTGGAAGAAGTATAAGGTGTCCAGGTTAGAGGAAATCTGTGGTGGTGATTATCCTGTTATTTATGAGGCCCTTGCAGCACATCCTCATACAGGGGATTTATGCACTGTACTAAAATCTGCTCAGGTGGACACAGGAGATGTTTGTAGTCTTGATTCTAAAGCAGGACTCAACCGCAACGCTAAGCTAACTGTCCAGTGTAGGTTGTGATCTGTGCTATCCTGTAACGTCCAGGTTTTCACCAAGAAGAGGAGGAGGGAAAATTTTGGGAAAATGTACTTGTCTGTTTTTTTATTGTGTGTGCCTATTAAATTTTCCTGGATATTGAACGTAAGGGCTTGTATTCTTACTCTGGTTTTCTACCCTAGGAAGTCAAAGCACATCAGTGTGTTTCAGATATAGAAATATCTATGACCTTAGTTCAAAGTGACTCCAGCAGAATGAGTCCTAGCACTGGTGACTTACTCATGTAATACTGCTGCTTTGAATTGCTGGTCTGGTGCTATTTGCTACAGTTTTGGTGGGTGTATCCAAGCTTTTGTGCCAATTTGATGTGCTGCTAATACTAGAACTTGCGAAGGTAGTCTTGAGAAGTTGTGAAGACTGAAGAAAGCTCTTCAACTCATGCAGCTTCTTGGGGGAGAGACCATATAGCTGGTTGTCTTCTGAGTGATGTACAGGACAAAGTCAGTGCCTGTCGGTCTTCGACAGCAGATTCTAGCAGCTGTCACTCGAGGTGGCACAGCAGTCTGTTTCGCTGAAGTGTTGGGTGTTGAGCAGTCGCATCGGTGTTTCTGCTGACTAGGGGAAGGGGTTCTGACATTAGCAGCAGTAAGGCCCACAAGAATCAATACTTGGTTTACATACTCAAGCAATTAGTATTGCAGCACCTTCAGCACCTCCCTGTGCAGCCTGTTGTTAAGTGGTTGTTCTGTTAAGCTCTTCCAGAACAGAGCACACACGCTGACATAGATATCTTGCGCTGGAGGACTGCTAGGCAAACGGATTCCAGCAGGAAGCAAGCACGCATCTCTCAAGAATTTTTATGCAGTAGCACGTACCACTTGGGATATTGGGATTCCTGGCTTTGTAGGAGGTTCCTAACGTGGATGCTGAATGCTTCTTTTAATTTCTTCTGCTCAGCCCTGTGCAGTAAGGAGGACGCAGATGGGAGTTCAGCTGGGCTCTAGGTCGCTTGATTTGCTCTTGCCGCATTCCTGAGTGCTGGTGGGAGAGAGGGAGACTGATGACTCATCAAGTCAGGTGGTTGTGCCTCTGCTGTGTGTCAGAAATTTCTTCCCCCTCTGCAGCAGGCTTTCTCATCCCTCTGTGTAGGGGCACTAGAAGGACAATTATTTTGTAAATGGTTGTGCTTAACTGCTGAATTCTGGCTTTAGTTCATTGGGCCTGTGGATTTTTGTTCCTCCCTGTTCCTGCAAAATAAGGTAAGAATCTCTGTTTGTATGATAAAATAGTCATGGATTTTCTTCATTGCTGTAAGAAGGATCCTTCTAAAAATCTCACTGGAGTCTTAATTTTGAAGAGATCTTTGTGGTAAGGCCGTTCATTGTGTAAATTGTGGGACTGATCAAATGTTTGAAGCAAACCGAGGAACTGCAATAGAAAACAGGTTTCTTTGGCATTGATAGCAGGATAGTTACATTTTCAGGGGTTACTCTGCAGTCAAACTGCTGTGCTGGGGAGAAACCAAGATAGAAAACTCAGGTAACTGGCCCTTTCTTGTTCAATGATGACTGTAAAATTACTTTAATAAATCACCTTTCAGTCAGAGATGATTCTGCAGCAAGTAATATTTTGATTTCTGGCACTGTTAGGCATACTGTGACCATGTTAGAGCTTAAAAACATGTTTAAAGTCAATTGTTGAACTCTTTAAGATGAGGAAGATTCCTGTTTGTAAATTGTAAAGGATACAAGATGCATCTTTGCTGATAAGGGAATTAAAATTAACCTGATAACCTATGTAGGTGTGCGAGTGAGCTTTGTAGGAGTGGATGGCAGATAGTGCCTAATAACCTGTGTTGGCGAGGGGCCTATGAAAGAGGCTGTAGGAACTCAGTAGATTTCTAAAATGGTTAGCTACCATGGCTTCTGGGGTAAGCATGACCTGTGTGCACACACATGATGTTATATTTAGCAAATTCTGACGTGCTTTAGGGAATTTTGTTTTGTCCAAGTACTGCCAATGAAGACATTTAACAGTGTAGGTAGGTAAGGCAACGTTTCTGCCCTCAAGGACTTTTCCATCCAAAATGAAAATCTGTAATGCTAATACACAAGCACAAGAAAACTGCACAGAGACAAAAATAGCTTTTTTTTTTTTTTCTTAATTTCTGTTCAGTGTTAAAAGATGTGTAGCCCCTGAAAAAAGAGGTCAGCTTGGCTGGGTGAGCACTGGCTTTTTAGACTGTGTGGACTTTGGGGGCGATAGGAGGTGGAACAAAGAAAGGTGAGGTGGAATTCATTGCATCTTCTACGCTTGGAATAGTTCATAGGTACGTGTTTAAAAGGAGTTGGTGTAGGTGCTAAAGATGGAGACAAAGGCAGGGTTTGTTGGTGTGGTGCTAGGTGGCTGGTAGAGGAATCCCATTGTCTTTTAGTTGGCTTGTCCAGTAATTTGGGAGGGTGGCTGTAGGAGGAGGAAGCAGAGCAGCCACAGGAGCAAGGGGCAGGTGCTGGGTGTCAGGATGCTGTTTTAACTGTAGAATGACTGTTCTGAAGTTGTTGTTTGCATCCCTAAAAGAGAAACAGTCGCTTCAAGTGGTAGTTGTCTGACCTGCAGGTTTTGGATATGAAGAAAAGTTAATTTAAACTGAAACTGGCCAGTGTTCTTCCTGTTTTTCCACGCCTTTGTAAACTGACTCTTTCGTATGGGACCCTGTACTGTCTAATTGCCAAACAGCATCACCAATTCAGTTGTGAGAATTTGATTTAGCTCTTTCTTGGTTGTACTTCTGTAGAAGATTTTGGTAGTAGGACTCCAGCGATTGTTCTGTATCTTGGTGTGTTGAAGTAAATGTTTCGGGTGGGTTTATAAGACTAGCTGCTTTTTTCAGTATGAACAGTAATTGTGTTTGAGTTTTGCAATGTTTTTAATTGTTAAAAGCAAAAAAAGGTGAGGTGGTTATGTCAGTCTGATCGGAACCGGCTCAGGAGCTGCTGATTGCCTTGCGAGGACCTCCCTTTGCCAGTTGTCAGAGGAGACTTTTCAGAAATAAGCAGTGACATTAAAATTGTCTTCTGGGCCTAAAGGACCAGCAGCTGAAAGGATAAACTATCACTGTGGAGAGCAGAGGGATCTAACAGATACCTGACTTTGCCTTTGAGCCTGAGCGCAGTTAGCAGTTCCACGGCAGGCTGGTGGTGGCTTAGTCACGCCGAACGGTTGGGCTGGCTGCTGTGAAATGAAGCAGTGGTAGCCATCTTACACAGGCCACTCCAGGAGGCGTGGAGCCTGGAAGAAGCTATTTCTTCAGGGCAAACAGAAGTTTGGAATCATTGGAGATCCTTTTCTTACAGAGCAGAGCCATCAGTTTAAAACATTTAGCTTGGTAAAGAGGCTGAGGGGCAGAGGATTTGTAGTATAATATTAAAAAGCTGTAAAACAGTCGTAAGATTTTAAGAGTAGCAGATGTCAGCTACCTACTGCTCCCGAAAAACAGGAGGCAGAGAAGCATCCTTTAATGATGGTGGAAGGGGTGGCAGCATAGTTGTCTTCCTCATTGTACACGGGGCAGATTTTCAAGGCTGAGTGTGCCTCTGTATTTGCCGCCTTGCAGAAGGTGCTGGGTTAGGTTAAGCTTCTGGCGAGGGCTGTGAGTGTCAACAAACAGCTGCTGACGGGTTCCCATCACCAAAGCAGGGGCTTTCGCTGGGTGGGCCCCGTCGCTCCACGGAGAGCATCGCACGCTGCCGTGCTGCGCCTCTCGCCAGCGCTGGGTCATAAACGTCTCGATACAGTGGAGATGGGTAGAGAGCTGCCTCACAGTTCTTTAACAGGGATCAGTTGCCAAGGTAACGCAAAGCATGGGGAGGGCTGACAAAGCAAAACGATTAAATACTCCTTATCGGCACCAGAAGCAGGACAGCCCAACTGCTGATTGCAGGACAAATGGGGGGGATCAAGGAGGTCTGTTTCTAAAACAGCTTTTCCTGTGTCAGTTGTTTATACTCCCTGAACAGTTACTGGTGAGAGATGTCAGTGTTTAACTGTTGCAGGTTGGGGTTTTTTGGCCATTGTTCAGCACAGTTCTTCCATAATGCTCCACAAGTTTCACTAAGAGCAAAGACCGCATAATATCTAGCTGTGAAGCATGTAGAGAGGAGTCACATGTTTGAGTGCTGATGCTTGTGAAAATCTGTATTTCTTCCTCTAGACACTGATTCAGCAGCTTGAGATAGCAAAAATGGAATTTTCACAATTAAGATCTGTAGTATTGCTTTTCAGAGACTGCTGGCAATAAAGCAGCCCAGAACATTCTGTTGCTCACTTAGAATCATGGAAAACTCCATCTTTTGAAGGAGGCGAGATGAGATGTGGAAGACAGAAGAGATTTTCCATTGTTTAAATATCCTGTTATTGGACTTGAAAATAGTTCAGCGGTGTTACAGCATTTTTGGAGTGTAACTGTTTCACTCAGCAGTGTTCTGTGGAGCATATTATGGAGTGATGTGCCAGCCCTGTGTTTCTGCAATAGGGGATGTTAGTTCTTTTGTTTGTTTAAATTAGTTACTTTTTAACTTTCTATAGCTTTAAAATCAGTGTGGTTAATGTGCTTCAGACCGAGTTCAGAATTCTTCAGTTCAAAATTCTTTCTAAATGGAAACAAGGAGAGAGCAGAGGGGAGGAAGAGGAGGAACTTACTACATATGTGTATTCTTCAGAACTGACTAATTTCTTTTTTCCTTCTGTACAGTTGAAGAGGCAAAATGGACTTCTCCAAGCTACCCAAAATCCGCGATGAGGACAGAGAGGCTTTTGTTGGCTATGTCCATGGAGTCTCGGGACCTGGTAGGTATTATTTTGTAAAGGAAATAATAGATTCTGTTTCATCTAGTGTCTTGTTAATCTTGTTAACTTGGAAGTGAAGTGGAGAAGTATAGTAGAGCTCTGGGTGGAGCTTTTTATCTCTTTTTTTTTTTTTTTCCCCCCCCCCCCCAGGAAGGGAAGGCTTTTTAAGAAGGATCACTTAGTCTGATAAAATATTTGAAAATATACTAACAAGATGTTACCGCTAATTAATCTTATTTAGAGATGTAATGAGCAGAAGCAGGCTGATGGATAATAATAATGAAAAAAAAAAAGGTATTAAACTTTCTGGATGAGATAAAGCCACTTGGTCAGAAATCTGCAGGCACAGTGTATTAAGTTTCTCTCGAAGGCTGTGAGATGCATGGTCCATTCTCACTGAAATGCATTTTGACCCTGTTCTCTCTGGAATACTCTGTCCCCTGCCAGTGTCAGGTTGTTCTGTGTTACTGCACTGTGGGCTGCAGGGAGCTGCAAGGGTCAGGGAAGGTGGCCCAGTGTGGTGGTAGTGCATCTGGGAGGAGGAGTGCTCTTCCTCCTTCTTCATCAGCTTAAGTAGTTTATTTAGGCTCTGATGGTACCAGCTTTTGATTACATGCAGACTCTACCTGCTTTTCTGCTCCCTCCTGCATTCTCTTCAAGAGATGAAGGAAGGAATTGGCGTGTGAGAACAGAAGAATACCATCTGTTTTTGTTAATGCAGCTTATTTGATGAATAAGAAAATCCCTTGACTTGCGTCCACCTAAATAAACGCTTGTTCTGTAACTGCCAGTTCCTTAACTGCAGAAGTGATGCTTAAAAATAATTGTAAACTGATACAGCTTTCTTTCCCAAGAAGTGGAAAATGTATTTTTTGGTGTAAATACATGAACGCCATGTGCAAGATTGATATTATGACATAAAAGACATGATAAATTTTGTCCTAAAGCAACTAAGCCTCTTGTATGACCTGCTGAAATCTAACTCAAAGCAGTAGATTGCAGGCCTTACACGTGCTGTAAAACAGTCTTCATCTTTTCAAGGTTAATTTAAGTGCCCTAAGATAGACATCACTTTTCTACAAAATAAAACATCAAAATAGTATTTCCTTAAAAGCTTTGTAGGCATCTGCCACTCTAGATACAAGGGTCTGTACTGCCTTTAGCAGGCCCCTTGGCTTGATCTATACATGGACATAGTTTGTTATGTTAACGTCCAGATGCTACCAAGGTAAACAGGAGTTTGAGTGACTTGAAAGTTCTGGTCCCCAGCCACAGGCTTATGTAACTACCAGGTATCAGGTGAGCTTTTGCCTTTTTAATGTACATTTTTAATTTAGTCACATGGGAGAAGTAGGTATGTAACACGTCTGTCAAATTTCACCACGTCTCTGAAACCCTAAGCGCTTGCCATCTGTCAAGATAGATAAGAGAAATTGTGGCGTGAATTGTCTGTGAACTACTGTGTTCTGATAGCGTCCCCTCGTTGAGCATAAGGGAACGGTGTGAGAAGTATAGGGAAACTTTTTCTTTTGGCTTTTAATAGAAATGTCAGAATTTGTGACATTTGACACAGTCATCCCTTTTGTGAAATCAAGAATGTGCTTCTGATTTGGGGGGAATACCAGACTTGCCTTGTGCAGTCCTTACTAACTTCTGATGAGTAAATCTTCTGAGCTACAAGAAAAATGCTCACCTGTGTGCCTGTCTTCTTTCCACAGTGGTCACGGCGTGCAACATGGCAGGTGCTGCTATGTACGAGCTGGTACGAGTAGGCCACAGTGAACTGGTGGGGGAGATTATCCGACTGGAAGGTGACTTGGCAACTGTCCAGGTGTACGAAGAAACTTGTATCCTTTGCAGTGATCCCTCTGGGCCTGCCAGGCTGCACAGTCAGGAACACCCTGGTGATTAGGGTCCAGAAGATGAACAAAGCTGACTGGGACCAGCTCTTGGTACTTCTGATGCTGGCAGGCAGCAACATCTGCTTTGCACATCTCTTGTAAATTCTGATGGTTTTGAGGTAAATCTTATCTTGCTTGGCTGTGTACCAAGGAGAACTCTTTGGTTTTTATGTGGAAATAAAATGAGGAGTATCTTAGAATTTAATTTCATTTTAATTTAAGTATTACAACTCCTTGTTAAGGAAGTTGTTTGACAAAGTTCAGCCATAAATGGCAAAACTATCAAGCATTATTTGTTGCTTTTTTTTCTTTGCATCTAAAAACTATGTTTGTATAATGCTTAAATAGGAAACATAAAGTGAGCAGGATGCCCTCTTCTGAGCAGAGTATTTTGCCAGATGTAATAGATTACATTTTTCCTTCTGCAGTATGCTTGCAGAATCTTGGTCCAGCTAGGACACAACTTGTATTCTAAAATCTAGTTAACTTAAAATGTATTTTCTATTACACATATATGAGAGAACGTCAGAAAAGAAGTCATAAAACTTAAAGCCAGGCCTCCGATCTGAAGCTTTTCTTTTTTAATGACTAGTCTTTTTCCTTGATCTTCTGAGATGTCTTCAGTAAGCTAAATAAGGGAAAAGACAAGACATCATCATCTCTATGGCTGCATCTGAAGGTTTTCCTGAAATGCGAACATAATTTTTCTGCTCTTGGCTCCCTGCCGTGCTGATTTCTACTGCTGTCTTTTTCCTCTCATTTGTCTTCAATCTTTTTTTATTTTACTTTCCATCTATTAAGAGCCTGACTTAGCAAAGCAGCTGGTGGAACATAGCTGGGGTCAATTTGGCACACAAAAAGCAGTACTATGTTCAGTGTTTTTTCCAACAACTTAACTGCGGGAAAGTGAGAAAACGATCGGCTTTTTTTTTTTTTTTCTTTTCCCCCCTCATTCTTTTAAACTTAAGAGTTGGCTCTATGTGTCTAGCAGAGGCTAGGAAAAAGCCTGTGCTGGCTCCCAAAGCTTTGTTCTGAGGAGCTGGATGGCGAACTGATGACTAGCTCTTGTCTGTACCTAATAATTTGTCATTTTAGATGGCATCATCATTGTAATATCTAGTAGCCTTCCATCAGTAAGTGGAACAAGTCTGAGTGTAGTTTACTCTTAAGTTCCTGATGAGTTCCTGTCATAGGGCTCTTGGAAGTCAACTTGTGTTTATTCTCTTGAGTCTTGCGTAGGGTTTTGCGGATTTCTTTTGTATTCTGGCAGGACCTTTTGCCAAACTGTTGTCCCTTTGCAGAGAAGTCCATTGTGCATCTTTGGAGCTTAGGTAGTGCATAGACTAGACAACTTGATAACGGAGAGGGAGGAAATAATGCTGGTCTTGGACAAACTCCCTTTAAAATTAGGCTGCTGTCAAAAAGGCTGTGCAAGGCTCAAGGCCAAAACAGTTGTGCTCTAACAAATTATGAAGTGAAAAATTACATATTTCATAACATTGTCTGACTTAATCAAACCTGTTTTGTAGGTTTGGAGGTTTAAGAAATGCCTGATGATTTGTCATCCTGTGCTCCAGTAAACTCATCCATATAGTTGAGTTGAACTAATGATCACAAAGCAGAATATTTACCCTTACTTTGCCTCTCTGGAGGATGAGTAGTAACTTTGTTGCTTTAGCAATTTCAGCTTGAGTTTAGTATAAAGCCTGCATGCTCCTCAAATGATGACGCGTAATATAGTAATAAAAGTATTACCTTTAAGTTGGTTCAAGAGTTTGATGATGTGAATGTGATGCCTTCTGCCCTGTTTCTTTCCCCTTCTCTGGATGAACTTTTCCTCAGCAAATCTTTAGCTGGTGTCTCTGTAGGAGATCCTGTCCTCCGTACTGGCAAACCTCTGTCAGTGGAACTGGGGCCTGGCATTATGGGAGCTATTTTTGATGGTATCCAGAGGCCTCTCTCGGACATCAGCGCTCTGACCAAAAGTATCTATATCCCTAGAGGTGTCAACGTGTCAGCTTTAAGCCGAGATATCAAATGGGACTTCACGCCTTCCAAAAATTTGCGGGTAGGTTCTGACAAGCCTGTCTTCCCCTCTTGCTCCTCTACCCCCAGAGCTTAGGGCTGGAGCAGAGTGCCAAGGCTGTGACTGCTGGGAGTTATGGTTAATGCTGTACTTAAATTTGCAAAAAGGGGTGCTAGGAAGTGGTGGTGATGTATGTGACTGGGTGGGGGTCACCAAAACTTGCTGGATGTGACTTACTGTGTGTTGCTGCTGCATATGAGAAACTTGCAAAGTTTTAGTGCATTTGCAAAACCCTGAAGAAGCTGGTGGAATTGCACTAAGCGTTAGCAGGAGCAGGCGTTACCTGAGCAAAACGAATAACTGCAGCACACATTTGTGAAAGGTGAAGAGCTGGAAAATGTCGTGGTTTTAGCCCTTGGCAGCATCTGTTTTCCAACCCTGCAGGTTAGCATATGCTATCCTTTCTCTACCTAACACATTAAACTGAGAGGTACAGAAGAAGTGAGGAAAATTCCTTGCATCAGTCAGTAATTGCTGCTGTCAGAGCCTTGAAAGGCACCTGAACCCAGATAGTGTTGGTAGCAATGTGCTGTTAGTGTAGTGAGTTATGTAAATGGGCTACTGTGCTGTAACAACGCATCTATAAAGGGAGTAATTGCAGTGTGAGACTCAATAGTTGTTTTATGTGGTTCTTTGTCAAGGTTCTTTTTTAAAACTGGAGTTCTCACTTATGACTAATAGACCTGTTCTGATTTTAGGTTGGCAGCCACATCACTGGTGGAGATATTTATGGTGTGGTGAATGAAAACTCCCTAATCAAACACAAAATCATGCTACCCCCACGGAACAGGGGCACAGTTACATACATTGCTCCTCCAGGAAACTATGACACTTCAGTAAGTCTCCCAGACAGCAGTTGCTGGTATATCCATACCTCTTTCATAAGGTTGATGTACTCTTTCTGTTCTGCCTGGTGCCAACTAGAAAGTGTTTCATGTAACAAGATGTCTGAGTTAATGATCACTTTTGCTACCCTGCCTGCAGGGATTGCGTGGTGACCTTGTGTGGTTACTTTATGTGTATTTGCCTTCCCAATGGCACTTCAGTGTGCCGTGTTCACTGACCTCTGTGGGGATCTCCAGTGTCTTATGAATATGTAAAATTCAGTTGCTCTTCAAAAGCATATTTTGAGTTGAAGCTTCATCTTGCACATTTTTTCCCCAGTAGCATTGTAAATATGGGAAAGAGCCTTCCCTCTTGAGGGAATTCTAGCATGTTGAGGTTCTGAGAAATCTTTGGTGGTATCAACCACCCACCTGTGCAGAGCAGTTGAGATGAGAATTTGCGTGGAAAGAGCCTTCCCTCTTGAGGGAATTCTAGCGTGTTGAGGTTCTGAGAAATCTTTGGTGGTAACAACCCAGCTGTGCAGAGCAGTTGAGATGAGAATTTGCATACTGGTGTAGCGTGCAGCTCTTTGCTTACTTCAGGTGTCTGGTGTGTCTGTCAGGATGTTGTCTTAGAGCTGGAGTTTGAAGGTGTGAAGGAGAAGTTCACCATGGTCCAGGTCTGGCCTGTACGTCAAGTCCGTCCTGTTACTGAGAAGTTACCAGCCAATCATCCTTTATTAACTGGCCAACGGGTCCTGGATGCCCTTTTCCCGTAAGTACTCTCTTTTATTTTCTAGTATGTAAGAAATCTCTCTTTTGGGGAGGAAGTGAGGTGAGGAGGCATTAAATTTTTTTTTTAAGAGCAATCAGACCCCAAGTTCTCACTATGTATCACAGCATAACCTCAAAAAATACTTAGCTGAATTCCTCCTATTTCTGTATTTGACAGGAGAACCTACTAGTTGAAAAGAGAAAAGTTTAACAAGATAGTTCTAGTGCATTAATCTAGAAAAGAATGGACAAGCATAAACTTAGCATAATCATGCCAAATCTACAGAAAGGCTGGAACTTTCAAGCTTGAAATCTCCATTTGAACACATAAATGGGATCTTTCCCTGGTCTTGAGGATGTGTAGTTCCCAATGATGTTGGGGTCACCACTTATGAAAAATCTTGCACTTAACTGTAACACAAAATGCTGATTTAAGCAGCTGACTTTCCAGACACTAAATTCAGTCATTTTGGTCCTAAAATACTGTGCTACTTATTCTTATAATGCACAGTTAAGTACAGTTATTCTTTTCTTAGCACTTGCATTCCATCAGTACTTCCAGCTGTGAAAATGGCTGTATTTCAAGCCTGAACGTCTAGCTGTTGTACCAGCATAACTCACAGAATGGTAGGGGTTGGAAGGGACCTCAGGAGATCATCTAGTCTGCCCCCCTGCCAAAGCAGGTTCCTTACAGCAGGTAACTCATGTACTTCAAGGTCAGTAGAAGAAACGGGCAGTTTATTCCCTCAGTCTTTCAGTTTAGTGAAAAACCTCTGTGCTTCTCACCCAGAACACTGAACGTGACTCCTGTTGCTCTGCTTTTAATTAGGGGGTTTTACTGCAAAACATGTTCTAAGATGGGAGGGAGCTGGTTTTGAGTTCCTTGCAAATCAGAGTCCTTTTTTTCTTTACTCAGGTGTGTACAAGGGGGTACTACAGCGATTCCCGGGGCATTCGGTTGTGGGAAGACTGTGATCTCGCAGTCTCTCTCAAAATACTCCAACAGTGATGTCATCATTTATGTAGGCTGTGGAGAACGAGGAAATGAAATGTCTGAAGTACTGAGAGATTTCCCTGAGGTTAGTATGGAGAATTCATGGAGAGTAAACCTTCTTGCGAAGACTTGCTATTGTAACTGAATAAAATTCCATATTGGTAAAGTGACTTGAAATTATCTTCTTGCCTCCCCACTGTAAGTTGTGGTTGTAGTAGCAAAAATCCCTTTTGACTCATTCAGCAATGATTTCCGTGGCCCCTCAGCACACATCTGGACTAGCTTTTGTGTGTACCTTCTAACTTGTTTAAAATAAAACCAAAATGAAGGGTGTAATTTAGCACAGTAACGAGCACCTTACCTTTCACTGGTAATTACAACTTTCAAACTTAACCTTGCACAGCAAATGCAGCACCTGTGTTTACAGGGTGCAGGGTGGTAATACAAACAGTGACCAGATATTCATTTGACTTGTAAGAATTTGGAATACCTTCGGAAGGAAGTAAAAAAACCAACCAAACAAAAAAAAAAAGGGGAACAGGTTTACAAATCCTTCTACCTGTTGTTGCATGTTAGTGAATTAGTTGTGACACAGTCTTCTGTAATATATGGGAAAGAAGCCATAACAGTCTGAGGTATTAGGCTGAAGCTCCACTGTCAAAAATAAAGGGTAAAAGGCTTGGGCATATTGATTGGTTACAAGATGAGAATGTCAAGCTGAGGTGGCCATGAAAAAGGTAAATCCCAGGATATTCATAAGTGGAATTCTACATAAATGTCAGGACATACATTCTGTTGTTCATGTGCTTGTGAGGCTTAACCTGGGTTGTATGTGTGGTTTTATGTCCAGTTGTCAAAGATGAACTTGGATTGGTGTAGATGGGGAAAGAAAGCTTTCTGATTTCTAACGGATTTATGACAGGAGGCTCAGATTTTTAGCTCTTCTAGCCTAGTAGGCTGAGAGAGGATGATGTAGAATCACAGAATGGTTTGGGTTGGAAGGGACCTTAAAGCTCATCTAGTTCCAACCCCCCTGCCATCAGCAGGGACACCTTCCACTAGACCAGGTTGCTCAAAGCCTTGTCCAACCTGGCCTTGAACGCTTCCAGGGAGTTTCTGTACTCTGTACTTCTGGTACAGTGGATTTGTCATCAGTCATTTGAATGAGATCACTGGGGATTTGCCCATTGCAGAAGATGAGATGATGCTGAAGCATGTACATTGAAGAGTTAAGCTGTGTGCAATTTGGAAGGCAAACCAGCATAGCATCCTGAAATCTTGAATCTGGTTTCTGCCCTTGGTAGTGTAGCTGTGAGGAGAGTATACTGATACAAGAAATAATACAAGAAGTAAAAAAACCAAAAAATAACCAAAAACCTTGCTACTGTCACTTTTTTTTTTCCCCTTTTCTTGCATTATAGTTAACAATGGAAGTTGATGGCAAGGTAGAAAGCATCATGAAGAGAACAGCTCTCGTAGCAAACACCTCCAACATGCCTGTGGCTGCCAGAGAAGCCTCTATCTATACTGGTAAGATTTACAGGAAGCTGGAAAAGCCTGTGTGCTCTAGGATGCCATCATGCTCTAGGATTTTCAGTTCCTGAGATGGTCAGTATCAAGAAACCTGCTGAGTTTTGGAAGTCAACCATTTCAGACCTGGCCTGCATGAAGTATCTTAATTTAATTTGGCTTGCTTGTATATAATTATGATTTCTGAATATTGAGTAAAGTTTTCTTATAAGGTGAACTTGCTGCACCAGCTCTCATGTAATTAATTATTTTAATTCTCCATGTGTTAATTATCTACACTTTTGTTTGCTTTTTACTGACAAGTACAGCCAGTTAATGGGCAGGAATAGTAGTCTCTGAGTTGGCATGCTAGTCCTTTGCAGCCTCTTAGAGGTTTTTTTTTTTACATTCTTTTTTATGAGAAGTTGTGAGATAATTAAGATACAACAGTGGGAAAAGGTCATGTTTTATTCTGGTAGTTTGAAAGGGAAGGAGACGTTTTACATTAAGAGGCTTTGTTCATGGTTTCAGTGAGGCAAAGATTAACATCAGTGACATTGCTGTGTCTCTTCAAAGAAATACATGAGAGTGCAAGATGAGCAAGAGTGTTTCATAAGCAAAAATGGGGAGAATGAGAAGAAATAAACAAAAAAATGACAGCAAGGATGTGATCTAGTGGGAAGAAAGAATAATTTTCCATGTCTATTTCCATCAAAATGCAAATTTAAATTTTTTGCTTACTTGCATCTTGGTGACAACATACAAGCACAGAATTCCTGTCTGAACTGTGTCCTGCAGCGCTGTTGTCTTTATTCTAGGCATCACCCTGTCTGAGTATTTCCGGGACATGGGCTACCATGTCAGTATGATGGCAGACTCCACTTCCCGATGGGCTGAGGCCCTCAGAGAAATTTCAGGGCGACTGGCTGAAATGCCAGCTGGTGAGTAGTCTTTTCTCAGTCTAGTCTTGTGGATGCATCCTTCAAACTCTGAGCCTTTGACTCATTTTCTGTGTGTTGGTGTTTGCAGACAGTGGTTATCCAGCCTACCTTGGTGCCCGTCTAGCCTCTTTCTATGAGCGAGCTGGCAGAGTGAAGTGTCTGGGAAATCCTGAAAGGGAAGGCAGTGTCAGCATTGTTGGAGCGTGAGTGTTGCATTTTTTTTGCTTTGCATTGGCTGCAGTTCTTTCTCTGTGTTTTTGTATGTCAAAGTACCTATTTTTCAGACAAAAAGTTCTTGTTGTTCTGTGCGGCTGCAGGGTATGGAGATATTTAGTTTCTGTTCACCCAGAACTGCTGCTAAATTGTGTGCAGGGACAGAAAGAATGAATGTGGACAGGTCGTCCTGTGACATGTGGAATCGCAGTCACTTGCAGCAGTTGGAGCAAATGGCTCAGGGAAGAATGTTGTTAGAGCTGTCACTGAAGAGCATGTCAAACCATTCTCAGAGCAGGAAAGAAGGGGCAGTTAAAGCAGCAGTGTGTGCACTTGGGAGTGTAATGAATTGCAGTTCTCTCGCTTAAATAGAGTAGAATTACATGGAGCAGCGTATCTCAAGCTGTGATAGGCTGTGAAAAGCATGTGGTCCCCAGACATTCTTCTAGGCTATATAGATTTGTATATCATACTGTGGGCAAAATGCATTTCCCACCCACACATTTTCAGGAGGGCCTCTGGCATCTGCAAGAACACCTAGAGTCCATTCTTTGCTCTGCTTAGTTCTGCTGTCCACAATATATACACCAATGCATCGTGCTTTTGAGGTTGGAAAAGTTTTAAATTGTTTTTTTTTTTTTTTAGGAATGCATATATTAGGGTGTCAAGCCCAAATTAAGTTGATGTGGTTATTGTATTGGTGAATATCTGAAATAATTTCAGATTGGGATATTGTTTTCTGGAAAATAATCATGACACTGTGTTTTACAGCGTCCTCTCGGCACACTTGCTGAATCTGTTCCGATTTAGATAGGTTTGATCATCCAAGCTGGAGTTACTACCTGGAGCTGAAGTGACTGAAATCGTACCTTGATACTGTCAATCAGTCACGGATATAACTATTTTTCAGTCCCTGATATAACTATATTTCAAGGTATACTTGATATTACACCTGTGTGGGTATGCATCCAGCACTTTCTGCTGCGGAAGCTTGCAGTCTGTTACTTACTTGAGATCATGTTGACTGTTCTGATTTCTGTGATCACAGAGCTGTGCAGTCATACATTCATTCGGTGCTTCAGTTCAAACCGTGAAAGCAATTCTGGTAACTTTTCCTTATCTCTTCCTGCTCAGTGTCTCTCCCCCAGGTGGTGACTTCTCTGACCCTGTCACATCTGCTACACTGGGCATTGTTCAGGTACGTCCCGCGATGTTGCAACTCTTCTGTCCACTTCATTATACTTGAAGTGATTGTGCTTTACTGCATTTGTGCCAGTCACTGAGGTGCAAGAGCCATGATTTGACACAGGCAGCTTTGTAGGGCGCTTCGGAAAATGTTCTAATGGTGTAAGAGGCAACCTTATGAGATGGTCTCTGAACTGATGTATTTGAGATCCCTCTGGAAGAGGGAGCGAAGGTAGCAATTCATTCCAATGCCGACTGCTCAGGAATATCTGTGTGCTTCCTGGTTGCTGCCCATTTTGTTGCACTTCAAGCTGCTCTTGGCTGAAATGGAAAGTGAACCACTTTTAACAGGTGCATTGAAACCACAAAAAAATCCTCAGAGCAGCCAACTGGGAGAAGAGTATCTTGCAACTGATTGCAGCCTTGCTTTGTGAAAAGGAGTTACATCTAATAGGTCTTCACTTAATTAGAGTACAGTATTGACATGGTCTTTGTTATGGCTGGGTTCTCCCTCAGCAGGAGTCTCAAGCTGAGTAAGTCTGAGCTCAGCTTAAAAGATGCATCATTTTCTGAGAAGTGGATTTGAAAGTCACTGCTGTATTTAAACTAACATAAGGAAGGCTTTCTTTTTCTCTCTCAGGCTTTCATTTGTGATAGCCTTTGCCGTGTTGCTCAAACTTGCTTTTTCTATTGGGGTTTTTTTAATTGCCTTCAATGATTTCAGTTTGGTTTTGATTTGGAACACGGGTTGATCTTTCTGGCTTCTGACAGGTTTTCTGGGGCCTGGATAAGAAGCTGGCACAACGCAAGCACTTCCCCTCTGTCAACTGGCTGATCAGTTACAGCAAATACACGCGTGCCCTGGACGAGTACTACGACAAGCATTTTACAGAGTTTGTCCCTCTCAGGACAAAGGCCAAAGAGATCCTACAGGAGGAAGAGGACCTTGCAGAGATTGTGCAGCTTGTGGGGAAGGTGAGTAACCAGCTGTGAGGAAATGTGGCGTCAATGAGCTGTCCTCCATGTCCTTACTGCTAGCACAGGCTTTTGACCATGTCCTAGACCAGACTTGTTGGACTGTGCAAAAAAGGCAAACGGTCACTGGGAGTTGTCAGGCTCTCCTGCCTCTGACTGTGCTTTATTCCAACTTTCTTACATGTTGTTTGACTTGTAATGACAATTACTTCTTTAGATTTGATAAACCTTGGCTTGATGCTGTTTTTCTTGTGTAAATTAGATTGCAGGACATCTAATGCTGGAGTTAAGAAACAGCCACTTGCATCAGTGTTCTAGTCTTGCTGAAATGCCCTTTGCTGCAACTTAGAACAGTACTCTATTGGAAGTAATCCTTGTAAGATGGAGGATGCAAACTGATTTTTACTGTTGAAGTAATCTGAAGGGTTACAATTGATTAGAAACCCTGTTGCCAGCTGCAGAGCAGAGGTGTTGGCATTTACAAACTGCCCTGTGGAAACAGAAGGGGTATCTGCTTTTTCTAAAAAGTAGTGATTACCTAGTTTCTCTGTGGAAACCTATGACATGACATGGCTCCATTTTACAGGCGTTCTTTAATGTCCTTCATTCACTTCACTGTTTTGGAGACAAAGCTGAACTTGGACAGGAGAGTTTCCCTTGAGAGCTCTCAGAAGGGACCCAGTGAAAACTCTGTGTTTCAGCTTAGCGCTGTAATATAGTAACTGCCAGGTGCCTGGCACATGCTTGCAATGACAGTTTAATCCCATGGTGTTCGGGTGAGCTATACTGATTTACAAGGTGGTAGCAGTGTGTGGTAACATGCAGTAACTACAATTATCTGGAGGAAGTTTGCTCCTGGTCCTCTCCCTATTCACTGATGTTCTTGCCCAATCAGGATGAGGCCTTTCACCAGATCTTAGCAGAACTCTCTTCTCTAGAAGAAGAAAAGGAAATGTGATCTTAAGGCCTTCTGCAGTTTTCTATTTACAAAACCATGTTGTAAAAGATTGGTTTACAGAGCAGGGTAGAATCAGTTCCTTGGTGTGGAAGGGATAAGCCTGTGCTTGTAACTAGGCATTATTCCCACAATAAAAATACTGGAACTGGTGATCTTGTTCTCAAAGATGTTATCTCTAAGAGTGTCTTCCAATCTGGGCCTGGCTAACAACTGCAACAAACCTTTGGAAAGGGGGAATTGTGGAAAAACAATCAGATTTTTTTTGTTGTTGTTTGAACTCTGAATTCTGTTAGTCTCCTTGTGAAAGAAGGTCCAAATTTCCTGTCCAGAAAGCAAGCTGGGGTACTTAAAACTCAGTCTACCCTCTTTAGGAAAAGGACAGTGAAGGTAGAGAAGAGTGACCTGCGGAGCCAGCAGCAGCAGTGTGCAGCAGGGTTGTGGCTGTCCTGCAGAGAATGACAGGCATTGTCATCAGCTCCTTTTCCTTTTCCTGAATGCCAGACAGGGAAAGCCCATTGGTAGCTGTGGAGGCTAGTAACAAATCTTTAAGATTACTTACTGATCTAGCATGCTGAGTTCTAGTTTTTCTTCTATGGACATAAGGATTAAGGAAGGTAAAAATGAGTTTACCTCTTTATGTAGGAAAGAGACATGCCTCATAGATTTAGGTCAGATATTGGGAGGAAATTTTTCACCCAGAGGGTGGTGAGGCACTGGCATAGGTTGCCCAGAGAAGCTGTGGGTGCCCCATCCCTGGAGGCATTCATGGCCCTGGTTGCCCATTCAGGTTGGCAACCCTGTCCACAGGAGGGAGGTTGGAACTAGATGATCTTCAAGGTCCCTTCCAACGCAGACCATTCTGTGATTCATAGCAGAGCTGTGTGTATTTTCTGTGTCTGGTGGTTTTTCTGTTATCTTCAAGGAAACTTCATTTCCGTTGTTTATCATCAGATAGACTTAAAGTACACTCATTGACTGTTTGGCCCATCTTAATTTGGCAATCAATTAAATTACCTGTTCTATAGCAGGGAATGAGAAATACCCAAAAGACAGAATTCTGCTGGAAGCCATCTTAGGGGGTTGGGAAGAAAACAGGTGCTGAAGGATAATGGACACAGCATGTCCTCAGGGACTCGAGTACTAAACTAACAGTGTACTTTACTTTTCTAGGCTTCCTTGGCAGAAACAGATAAAATTACCTTGGAGGTTGCCAAGCTGATAAAAGATGACTTCTTGCAACAGAATGGTTATACGCCTTATGACAGGTGAGATCTGACTGGCCGCTCTGCCCTCCTGGTCCTGAGTAGGCTGGATTCAAACAGCTGTTTGATTTGGAAATGGATCCATGCAGAAATTAATTTTACTCACCATAAACAAATGGAAGAACTGTGCTTAGGCAGCCATCAAACAGTGTATTCATGTTGTCTTGCCCAAGGCATGCAGACCTTTTCTGAATGCAGTCACACCCTCTGAGTTTCTCAGGCCCTCATCTGTTGTTCAGTTAGCCAATAGTTCCTCAATAGCTTGTCCTGAGGAGGACAGGACCACTGTGTTTTCAAAGAAAACACCCAAAGTCTTCCTGTTGATTCTGGCAATGCATGGGGGACTGCAAGAATCTGCTTTCTGTTACTGTTGCATTCTTCTTAAGTACATTTGACCCATCAAAAAAAACTTTCTGGATCCTTTCCCTAGTGCAGTGCTTATTGTCCCTGTCTGCTTTGCTTCTTTCCATGCTATCCTTGTGTTTTAATGCCCTGACAAGGGGCCTTTTGTATTTCATCTCGCTCCCCAGCCCAGGTAGATGAGGAAGTCTTGAAATACTTCATTGCTAAGAATTTAGATGTACATCATTCAGTAATGGTGTGTGCCCTTGATAAGGTTACTCATACAGGTCTGCTTGTATGTGGTAGGGAAGCACATGAAGTAGCATGATGTACTGTATAAAGTATAACGAGGTACCTTCTGTGGCAGTCATCTGTCCATTAAAAAGAGGAGCTTTGTGTGTGTGGAGTGCCCTTGTCAGAGAAACACTCCCTTTCCTGTGAGCAAAGAAACTTGCAGAGCTGTCAGGTCATCCCAGGCTGCCTGGAGCAAGCCTGCTCCCGTGATGGACAGAATGGGAAGCAGGAATTCCGTTGGCTGCTCTAGTGTTTTCCCTTTCTCGTTGATATTGGCACAGATTGAAATGCAGGACTTGTACAGTGGTGGTTCCTGTTCTCTCCTGTTTAGCCCAGTGTTTGTGTGCTGCTTCAGAAACCTCACTTGGGGATGATTGTCTTAGCCTATGGTTTGCCTGTTTAAAAATGTGGGACCTATTAGAGGCGGTCCCTCACCTTTAACAGCGTGTATCAAAAATACCTGGAGTAAAGCAGGCAGCACTCTTTCTTTTAGGGGAGAACTCAGAGTTGTTGTGAAGGCAGGAGCGAAGGCCTCTCCTGTTAATGCCTGACAGATCCTTTTCTGTTCCATCAGGTTCTGCCCTTTCTATAAAACAGTGGGCATGCTTTCCAATATGATTGCATTCTATGATATGGCACGCCGTGCTGTAGAAACCACAGCCCAGAGCGACAATAAGATCACGTGGTCCATCATCCGAGAGAACATGAGCGAAATCCTCTACAGACTTACCTCCATGAAATTCAAGGTATGTTCGTAAGGAACGGGGTTGCTCTGTGTTTTGTGAATTATTTTTTTTTTCCAGTGCCTCCAAAAGGCTGTTACTCAAAGGTGGTCACCAGTTGCCTTAGATAAAGGCCTGTGAACAGAGACTTTGTGCGATCGTTTTGAATACACTTAAGAACTGGTTCTAATTCATGAGCACAGGAATGGTCAGTACAGAAATCTAGTTGGATGGTGCTGGCTGCAAAGACTTGGCAACCCCACCTTCAGTAGTCTCTTTTATGTCACATGTATTAATAGTACAAGCACCTTGCCTGTTTGTTTGGAGGTTTTTCTTACTAAATTATATAAAAAAATAAAAATTAAAACATGTTCTAAGGAAACTATTAGCAGATAAAAGGAGCCCAAAGTTTAAATCCAGGAATGTGCTAAAAAGTGAATGACAGAAATGTTGATTGAGGTATTTAAAATGGAAGTTAAGGAAAGAAATGGTAGTCTCCTGCAGTAAGTGATGCCCCCTGTGTTTGGCTTCAGGGCCTAAGGCAGGTAACCAGGAGGAGAGGAAGGGAGGAGTAGCTTCAACATGGGCTAAAGAGAAAACAAGTGGCTTGGAGACCTGCTTTGGGTAACTTCAGTAGCCGTCTTTTTAGAGTACAGTGTTGCTAAAACTCATCTGGAGCATGCTGGGGTAGCAGTTACTGGTAGGACAAGTAACCTGTGGTGCTGGCTGATGATGAAGTAGCAAAAGAATCTCCTCCGTGAAGTATGATGCTTATTCTGTTGTAACTGTTAAAAGCCAATGTTGCAAATCTTTCGAGAACAAGTACTATAAGATAAAATTACATTTAAAATTAAGTGTTGTAGCCTGCCAAGTTATTCTGTTCCTGCAGGGTACTGGCTTGTTTCTGCAGGAAGCAGATCCCTGGTATATATTCGCAAAGCATCAATAACATAACAAGGTCCTCTTGGGAACATGAGCTTCTCTCAGAGCTGGTTATATAGAGATGGGGGAAGTAATACACTTCTTACAAACCTTGGCTACCAGAAAACATCTGACATACAGCAGAGTGGTGGACAGCGTGGCTGAACAAGGGAATCCCGGGGGTGACTGTGTTAAGTGAAGCCAGCCCTCAAATACAGTAATAGTTAGGAAGGACAATTTTATTTCCTGGGGAACAGTCCAAAAGGTGTGAGAATTTAAACGTCCTGTGGTCTGTGTACTTTGGAGAGACAGTGAAGGAGTAGTTCACCCACACATGTGAGTCCTCTGTGTTTCCCAAGAGCTGCACTGACCCAGAGGAACGTAGCACGGAGGGAGAGGGGAGTGGTGAAGACACTGAACAGATTGCACAGCCCAGCGGTTAATGCTTCTTGCAGGGAAGGCCTTGCAGCCTCGGAGCAAAGCTGATTGTCAATATTTTTTGCTCTTGTCTTTCATGAAAAGTATTCTGAGAAAATGAAGCTGTACAGAGATGTTCTGCAGCTTGTTACGATTGCACAATGAGATTTTAATTGAAACCAAGCGACCTCCGAGTGATGGTCAAGTAACTCTTGCATTTATAGGGCATGCACCCCAAAAAGTACAGCATTTCTGAGTCACAAAGATCCTTACTGCATTTGGATTGGGGATGGGAGCTGGTATTAATCCTTGCAGCTCTTGAATAGCATAGCATCAACTAAAACCCTCGGTATTATTAAATCCTCTTCAAATCAGTCGCTTTTCAATACAGTAAACACTGCTCACAAAAAAAGTCTCTGTCCAGTATCGGTTCTGCCTGCTAGCTGAAGGTGGAAGGAGGATGAGATTCAAACCTTGTGGCTGTTGGTGAGACAGACAGGAGGCGGAGATGGAGCTCTAATGCCTGCTCTGCATTTAGCAAACGTTAATCCTGAGGTCAAGAAATGACGGCCCTGGCAAAGCAGGGCTTGGCTGAAGTACCCGAGGCTTTTCCTGACGGATCTGTTCGTTTGCTGTGTTGTCTTTCAGGACCCTGTCAAAGATGGGGAAACAAAAATCAAGGCGGACTATGCTCAGCTGTTTGAGGATATGCAGAATGCATTTCGAAGTCTGGAAGACTAGACTTGACCTCTGTGACCACTCCAGTTTGTCCTCTCAATTCCTCATCTCAACTCCTCTGCTTCCCTACCTTACAAGAATGATGCAACAGTACTTGAGATGATAAATAGCCCGATGTTTTCCCTATTCATCCTCGGAGAGTGTCCTTACAAAACATTCCTCTTAGTTTGTGTTTGGCATTGCTTTGTGTGTCTGAAATGGCGAGTGATGTGTGAATGGGCCTGGCTGAGTGAGGAAATGCTGTTGTACACTTCTAGGGTGGGAAAAATTTCACCTTCCCTCTCCCAGCTCTCTGGGTAACCAGTCTTTCACCTTGGGACGGAACCAGTTGAGTTGTATTGGCAGAGGAGGGGTAGATCTTGGTGCAGTCACACGGTACATTTGGAGCTGGCAGTGGTAAGGGCATTTACATCTGGCACTTTGCTAAGTGACTATCATGACGTAGAACTCCCTATTCTTGAACAGACTTTTTTGACCATGTTCTGATACAACCAAAAATTCACTGCTCTGTCCCTTCTGTAACCCTCAGCTAGTCTGTTGGTATTGAAATGTGGTAGTTATGGATCTCTCCAAGAAGGGACTAACTAGAAGATGAGCACATACAAGCAGCCAGTATACTTTTGTACACTGGTGAAATAGAGCTTTATTTTCCTACATAAGACAGATCGGACCGTTGGACTCGGCATCAGCTAAACTCAAAGCCATAGGTGCTCAGCTTCCAGCAGTTTTACCTTCTTTGCCTCCCACTCACCCCATAAAATTTCATGACACTCGGCTGCTTTAGTTTGTGAAGCTCGTGACTGCTGCCGTGTGCTGCAGGACGTGCGTAGCGAGTTACGGTGATGCCACCACGTGTGTGGACCAGGAACACGGTCATTCCTCGGTGGTGCTCTGTCTGCCTCCCAGCGCAGTGCCCAGGTCACGCTAAAGAAAGGAAGGTGTGTGCTTAACCTTCTTCCTCCACCTGTGCTCACGTGGCCCCTTGGGCAGTGGCACAGAAGGTCCCCAGTTCTCGAGCAAGAGGAATGTGTGATGTTACACTTCTGGGGGCGGGGGATGAACGGGGGGAAGGTTGAAAAGTAGAAAATTTATTTACTCCTGCCTCGTTGATTACAATGCAAGAGAAACCAGCCACTTTGGTCTTCTGTGCTCTGGAAGCACTCTGTCAGGCAGCCGAAAACTGCTGTGTCTTGGGCTTGTTTATTGTCAGAACTAGTGTGGGATGAGGAATGAGCGTAGAGCAGCCTTTCTGTCCAGCTCCAGGAGCCTGGCACTTGTACCAGTGAGAGAGAAAAACGCTGGCATCCTCTCCAGCATCAGGTGGCAGCCAGAGCTGCTTTGCCACAGAGCACTCTGTCCCCAGCTGGGTTCCAGCTGACATCTGCCACTTCGTTGCCCTCATGAAGCAGTCACCGTTGTTGATGACACCGTGGTAGTGGCGTGGCTGTGTAAGTGTTAATTCTGCACCGCAGTATTTCCACCGGCTGCCAGCTTTGAACAGGAATGACGCAAAGGGATCTCGCGCTACGGACCAAACGCTGCCGCTTCCATTATGGTATCAGCTCGCTGTTTGTCAGGGAGAGCCCAGCTGAAGCTTAAAGGGATTCACTAGTTTTGGTTCTCCCTAAAGGAGCTGCTCCTCCAGCTGATGTTCTGGTAGTGAATGGTTAAGTTTACAGCTCACTAAACTTTTGGTGTACGTTGCTTATTTTACCAATGAGCATGTGTGAATGAGTAGTCACCGTTCAAGCCCTTGCTGGATTCCTCATCGTTTGTACTGTTCACCACTGTACTATGTAGCATTTCATGCTAGAAACCAGATGCTCTTATCTCTTTAAATAGAAGATGTTCTAAACTTTACAGAAGATGTCTAAGATAATGCAGTTCTAATATTTATTGTGCTGTACCTGGCCCTGAAGTGTGACCAGTTCAAACAGTTTCATATATATTTTTGGTCTTTTGTTTTGTTTTGTTTTGTGTCTGTTTTTAGTGTTGAAATTCTGATGTTCACTGTGTCCTGCAAGTCTTCCCTCCACAACTGTGGGAGGAATGAAAAGATGGGCAGAACCCCACCACCTACTTTATCTTGTATATTTCATGATGTATGTTGCTGGAAATTTGTGTTAAAAAAAAAATTAAAAAAAAAAATGTTGAAGTCAATGAGAATAAAATGGATTTAAAGTAGGTCTTTCTGTCCCGTTTTCTTCTGTCAAACCAACCCTGTGCCACAGGGCTGTACAGAACATACTGTGCTTCCTTAAAATCTTACTTCATTTTAGAGATCTCTCTAAACTTGTCAGCAGCAATCTGGCAGCGACCTTTTACCTCAATTCTCCTATTCCAGTACAGCTTCCATCACATCCTCAAATACTACATGACAGGAAAAGTCACAATTTAGTAAATATTCTTGAGGTAGAGATTTTTAGAACTACTTTTATTGTAATACAACTCTAAGTATGAACTTGTCTCTGACTGGTAGTAGCTGCCATGCACTCTAACACAACAACTGCAATGGTTCCATTTTATGGCACTTCACTAAGCCTTAAAATATTTCCCTGCCGCGTACCTTCTGTTGTGGAATATGCCTCCTAAAGTCTCAGCTGTGGGCTTTGGACAAACTGATTTGAACTTCTAGATCAGAAGATAAGCAATGGTTAGTAATTCTTTTAAATAAGGAGTCGAGACCTTCTGTAAATAGCAATAGATAAAGTGAGAATGTACTAAAAACCTCACATTCAGGCCCATTTGTCCATATTTGACCACTGTATAACAGCTCTTTGAAGGAAGTGTTTACTATTTTTTATATATTAGAGATACAGAAAGCTTAAATAGAGCAGATGTTCAAGTAATTCCACTGCATTACAAAAAGGTGGAAGTCACAAGCCGACTCCTGGCAACCACAGACTAGCCAGCAGTTCTCTGTGGACATTCAGAAATCCATGGAGGGAAGGGATGAGTTCAGGTGTTGGCAGCCTGGAAATGATGGGCTGGCAGCGTCCTCACTTCATCCACTCGACTTTTGTGGATCTGGAAGGCTGGCGTCACCCAGCGGCCACAGGAACACTGCTCACCCCGCCAGCTGAAGGAGCCCAGCTTCGAGGTGCATTTGGGACACAGAAGCTGCAAGAAAAACACATGACCCGGTCTAAGGTGCACGCAGATGTAGGTCTATTTAAAATGTCCTTCTATGGTATGTTACGTTGTGGGAAGCAGCTCCGTCCCTTGTAACACTTCATAGAAGGGAAATGGGCTGAAAAACAGGCAAAAAAGTGGAACTGGCATGGCTGTTTAGCCCTGGGGGTAGCAAGCAGCTTCCAGTGCTGGGTGGAAGAACGAGGGTGGAAATGCAGCTGCTTGGACCTGGTGTGGTTCTGGGACACTTCTGCCAGTCTCCAGAAAGCCTCAGTCAGCCTGAGACCACAACAGCTTTTCTAAGTCCCACAAGCTATTTCTCACACTAAACCAGCAGATAAACCCCACCTAGCACCCTGGCTGGTGTTCTCAGTCCAGCAAGATCACCAGCTTGTTTCCTTATAAAAGGATATTTAACATTTAAGAACCTGTTCATAAGCTGCAAAATTCTTGCCAGAAAGGCTGGGACACCTAGGTCCTTGTGGGGGCTTCTGCATCAGGGAACAGAAACAGTTTGTTCTGCCTTTGCAAAAAAAAAATAGTAATAATAATAAAAAAATCATCCCCAAAACGAAGCACACGCTCCCCTTCACCTGTCCTTCCATTACTCCGAGCAATGCTGGCTCCATCCACTGCACGGGCTCGGTGAAGTAAGAGGTACACCTTTCACGGCTATCGCCGCAGAGCTGAGCAGAGTCCGTTACCCTCTTGTGGGCGAAGGCTGTCGGTCCGCTTCCTTCCGTGTGGGACAAAATGCTGGAGCTACGGAACAGGGCGCGCCTGCCCTCCGCAACAGAGGGGGAAAAAGGCAGTAAAACAGTTGGGTTTTCACTGGGGCAACCTACAGGCAACAGAAAATAGCTGGCCCGCAGCTGTACGCTTCTCACTTACACAGATGTATTTTTAAACAACTCCTACCTACTACAATTTTAAATCTACTCTCATATACTTGAAGAAACCTACGCCTAGGAAATAGTAGGATTATTCAATTTCACTTTAAGTAATCCATAAAAGGTAGCTAAAATATAGTAAATCCCCAAAATCTACAAGAGGTTTCTTCTGGAGAACCTGATTGTCAAAAACAAACTATGGTTTTGGTTATGTTATGTTCTGTCAAGTTATGGTTTCAGAGCAAGCAGCTTCACAGAGCCAAGCAGAATTCTGCCTGCCTACAAAACGTGGCAGGTTAGGCTACACAAGTGCTGGGCAACTTCAAGAACAAAAGTTTTGTTATTTCATAAGATGATACTTTATTTGTCTAATTTGTTGCGGCACACGCTGTGTGGAAACTTAGGGAAGAGCTCATCCCTGTCCTGACAATAATGACATGCCCATTGATTTACACAGCCTGTTTTTCCTCTTCAGTCAATTTCCAAATGACATTTAATGGAGACATTTAAAGGTTCAGTACCTGCATTTCCTGCACCTGTAGAGAACCTCCGTGTTTGGAGTCTGACATGTACTGGTTGGATCAACAGCAAAGACTTCTCGGGGCAAGTCTTGAAGTTCTGCAGAGGGGTCAGTACGAAGTTGTGAATCAGATCAACACAGCCACCATCCATTTCTGTGGGACAAGCCAGCGCCGTGCCTCTGACCCAGTGACAACATGCAAAAGCCACTTTATTCGCATTCATTTGTCCACTCACCAGTTCTGTTAGGCAAACTAAACATGACAGAGCCTCATCCCACCACACCTAAGATTGGGATTTGCTTATAGCAAGGAACTGGGATCCAGACTTCGGCGTTAGCAATGGTAAAGTAGTTGCATTTTGCTTTGTGCTCTTGAACAGAAAGTAAAGGCAGAGGAGGAGTCGCAACAGTTCTGCCAATCTTTTAGTGCACACACTAATGAAAGGGTGCTTACGAATGGGAACTGCTAAGGAGAATGACACATAAAGGGAGAGAGCACTGTCATGCTGAATATCCAACATTGAGATCTTGCAAAAAAGCTGTGCATTGTTATTATAAAATTACACATACGCATACAGGTCTGCTACAGCCAACCTTTTGCAAATTAAAGTACGGAAGTTTATCTCATACCTTGATTTCAACTTTATCTCAGCTTTGCATTTATTTATTTATTTATTCTGTTGACTTCTTTTTAAAGGATATTAAGTTTGCCTAGCCAGGTACATAAAAAAATCACAAAACATATCAAACTAGCAAAATGCACAAATGCTAAAGGTCCAGAACAGTTCCTTATGGATCTTATTTCTCAAGGACCTCTTGAAGACACTTTTTTCCCCACTGATGAGCTGCAATTCTTTAGGACCAGCAGGACGTGAAGGTCTGCCAGGCCAGCTCAAGGCTCGGATGCTTTCAGGGCAATACTCAATCACCTTTGACGGGCCTTTCCGTGTCCATGCCAGCACAGACTGCTCCCACCCTGCAGCACCCTCCCTGGGCGACAGCCCCCCCC